ATCGTATCTTATCTCTTATTAGTTATCTTGTTTTAAAGTGCCCAACAAATCAAACGTTTTCACAGGTAGCAAGCAGGGTTGAACTGGGGAGGGCTGTACTGTTAGGAAGTGTAGGGGGCAGGGGCGAAGCGTCTATATAATCAAATAATCACTGCTTCCCTTTCTAATTTTGAAACATTGTCGCTGTCAAATTCACCTATAAACGTAAACCTCATAAATTAAAAATAAAAAGACGTTCATAATCAACAATGAACAGTATGCCTAACATTCAAAAAGGTTTCACTGCCACAGAAATAGCCTGTTCACCCCTCTCGGGCCACTCAATAAGCATTCACAAGCTTTGATTAAGTAAGCTTAAAGTGAGGCCAGAAGAGTCTACCAATAGATTTGAAGGGAACATGTGCATAGCAGTCAAAACTGTTTCATTGCCACAAATACCCTGTTCATCCCTTTGGGGCCACAGTTATAAGCAATCACAAACTCTGATTATGTAAGCTAACAATTACACTGATCGAGTCTACCTCACAAATGTGAGGGGAACTAACTCCTAACAATCTCTTGACAGTTGCAAGTGCTTGTTATTTTTCCTCGACTTTTTACCGTCCTATAATCAGATCATGACCTCGATTATGACACCAGCTCCTGGCCGCAAAAGGCTAGACAAAAACAGCCAAATGTGAAATTTAAAAAAATGATAATTGTCATGTTCTACCAAAGAGTTAGACTCACGGGTAGATCTATAACATATAGATCTAGTACTGACATCTCTGCTTCTTTGCTTTGTGTTTGTGTATTCACATCTAAAGTTAAATTTAATTGTAGTTGAATTAATATTTAATAAGATACTTTCCCGATTATTTTGGCGGTTGAACATACGATGTGAATTCCGGATTTGTTTTCATTGACAACTCAGAGTCGCCGCCACGAGTAAGATTCTTGTGTGATATCTCCAGGCCATATCTGGTCCCGTTTCACTTTGATTACACTGTCAAACAAGTCAGCCTTCGCCCCTGTAGGGGGGCTTCCCCCGGGTAAAGTGGATTCATTGTATTGTGATGACTCCTCTTGCGAGTCGTCCAACAGGTCAACCCACAAGTCGAGGTACTTAATATTTTCGATAAGCAATCCGGTTGAAAACAATCCGTGAGATAAAAGTATACTAAACAGGGTATGTCCGACTAAAATTGACGTAGGTGCACACATATTAAGAAAAGACTAAAAATACAGATGCAAACACTAAAAAAACACAACCCCCCCCCCCCCCCCATACAAGCAAAATTTGTATCTCTTTCTGCTCCCTCCTACCAACTTGTCTTGGCCCAGCAGGTTAGATACTAATACTAACAAAGTCACCACATTAGTATAAGACTTGGTGCAAACTTTCGGAACCTTTGGTGACACGGTAAAGATGACTTCTCTAGGGAGCGGGACAGAGGGAGCCCACCTCGTGACTCGAAAGAGCTGAGGAATGTAGGACTAACTTCATCTAAGCAAACTACTAACCAGTTGTAGTAGCCATCTCCAGTTAGGGCTATGACAACACTTAGATGAGTAACTTACTAAAATAACCCTACAAGAGTGAAGAAACCTATTTTGTTTTATTTATTTACTCATGTATTTATTTATATGCAAAACAATTTCCTGTGTGTTTACTTTAAGACTAACAGTTAAGTTCGAAACCCAAAATGCTGCACAGTTGATTGTTATTACTAAACACAAAAACGCCAGATGATAGAATTGGGCAGGGTACAAAAAATAAACAAACAGTGGAAACAAAATAGAAGCAACAGAAATGTGGTTTCTTAAGAGACAACTGAGCATATCGTGAAAGGAAAAGAACTCAAATGAGATAATACTTGATGAAGCCCCCGTGGGACGCTCACTGTTAAAAACGATCACGGAAAGACAAATTCATGCAGTATTTAGGACACCTGAATAGACATTACGGTCTTGAACATCTAGCTCTCAAAGGCAAAACTACAGGCCAATGAGGCAGGGGCAGGCCCCGAGCAACCTAACAAGAGAACATAATCAGATGGGTAACGAGGAAATATCAGGGTAACGTAGCTTTTTTTAAAGAGCATTCAAGCAAAGGGATGCAATCGCCGATGTCTGCCGCATATCGGCAAATGATGATGATGTTGATGATGATGATGATGATGATGATGATGATGAAATCTATCCATTTAAAACATTTTATATTGTTATGTTATTTTGTCGGAAATTCAAACATTCTCTCTCTCTCTCTCTCTCTCTCTCTCTCTCTCTCTCTCTTTCTCTCTCTCTCTCTCTCTCTCTCTCTCTCTCTCTCTCACACACACACACACACACACACACACACACACACATTCAAACACACTCACACACACAAACACATACACACCCTTCCTCTGTCTCCCCCCTTTTGCCTCCAACTGGGATGCCTCTATAAAATACGCCCAAACATTTCCCTTGTTCATCCCACGTTCACACAATTAACTTCCTGTCAGCCTCTCGTAGGGATAAATTGATACTCTTGCTAGACTAGCATCAATTTCTTTATAATTAGCTCCTTGGCCTGGCTCGCTGTTCGTCACTTCCGTCTAGCCTGTAACAACACGTAATCTTAAGACCCTCTTGGTTAGGCCCATTTCCCTGCTAGTGTACAGCGCTCATTTAGTTTTTCTCTCAGTTGCTCCCGAGGAAGCCCAAGAGGCAAAACGTTGAGCTGTGTCTTTTAAAGGGGGGGGGGGGGGGCTACAACCCCAAAATCAAAATTCGGCTCAAAATCATGGAATGTGAGTTGTAGGCATTTTTAGCTTCCTCAGCCTCTCCTACAACTATTTCATGGCATAAGAACCCCCAATAACCGTATTTTTTCCCATACTGGGCATGTTTGTAACCGCCATTTCCTCATAAAGTCAGTGTTTTATTTTTCTTTATCGGCCGTTTTCTCAAAATGCGACTTTTCTCTATACTTTTTTAAATAACTCCACCATTTTTCATCCAATCTTCATGAAATTTTCACAGAATGAAGACAAGAGGTAATACTAAAAATTTGTATGTTGACATTTTGATATATGGAATAGATTTTTGTTGGTGGTGTCTGGAGTGTGAATTTTCACGGATTTTTCACAAACTTGAACGCTACCTCAGGAAAAAATTCATTAAAATATTTTTTAATTCGATTAGGAAAAAAACAACAGACAAATATTTAGATCTAATGTTTGTGAATACGCATGCAAAAAACCCAATCAATTTCCATTAGCGATAAGTGCGGTATTTATTACGTAAGACATGTCAATAAAATCCAATATGGCGGCGTATCCATGGAAACAAAACTTTTTTTCTCAAATTTGATTGCGGATTTTAAGACTCCTTACTATGCTTGTTATATGTGTCAAATTTGGTAAAATTCGGGCGAGATAGCCTCCAGGTGTAGCCCCCCCCCTAAAACAACTTTTAAACGTTTTATATTGTTACATTATTTTGTCGGAGATTCACACAAGACTCCCCCTCATACACTGCTTTTCAAACAATGATGATGATGATGATATTTTTTTGTTTGTTTCCTTAATGGGCCTGAAAAGACTCCACAAAGAAATCTTCGAGCGAGAGTTAGGCTCTTTTTAGGCTCCATTGTCAATACGCTTAGCGGCACCTCCACTCGTCCAAATAACTCCATTCGAATTGCCATTGTTCCTGGACATTCAAACATATGTTTGACATCCTCCTTTTCATGGCCGCATCTTCGGCAACATGGACTGAGCTCTTCATTTACAAAGTTCTTATACCATCTTAGACTCCAATGATGGTCCGACCGCAGTCTTGCTAGCTCAGCCTGGTCCCAGCGACATGTGATAGATTTTTGTTCCCGCTTATAGGAGTACCCAGAATACACATCTTCCAGGTGCTGGTAGTTAGTTCTACATGATGATGATGATTTGTTTTGTTTCCTTTAATGGGCCTGACGGACTCCACGAAGAAATCTTCGAGCGAGAGCGAGGCTCTTTTTCGGCTCCATTGTCAATATGCTTAGCGGCACCTCCACTCGTCCAAATAACTCCATTCGAATTGGCATTGTTCCTGGACATTCAAACATTATGATGATGATGATGATGATGATGATGATGATGATGATGATGATGATGATGATGGTGATGGTGATGGTGATGATGATGATGTTATTCTTAATCTCAGTTGCTCATGGGAAAGCTTACGCAGCGAAATGATTTCATAAAACAAATTTTTACATTTTTGTCTGCTGATCTATCAAGACTCTGCTACACCCCCAAAGTCCCGATTGAGCTAAAAATTATGAAATTTGACTTGTAGGCATCTTTAGCTTCTTCACCCTCTTCTACAACTATTTCATTGCATAAGAACCCCCCAAAACCTATTTCCTTTCCATACTGGGCATGTTTGTCACCACCATTTCCTCATAAAGTCAATATTTTTTTTCTTTATCGGCCTTTTTCTCAAAACGCTACTTTTCTCTATACTTTTTAAAATAACTCCACCATTTTCCATCCAATCTTCATGAACTTTTCTCAGAAAGAAGAGAAGATGTAATACTACACATTTATTTGTTGAAATTTTGATATATGGAATAGATTTTTGTTGGGGGTGTTTTGAGAGTGGATTTTCACGGATTTTTTGCAAACTTGAATACCAATTAATAAAAAAATTTCTAATTCTTTTAGGAAAAAAAACCCAGACATATTTTTAGGTCTAATATTTGTGAACACGCCTGCGAAAAAAAAAATCAATTTTCATTAGCAGTAAGTGCGGTATTCATTACGTAAGACGTGTCAACAAAATCCAATATGGCCGCTGTATCCATCGAAACGAAACGCTTTTCTCAAATTTGATAGCAGATTTTAAGACTTTTCACTATGCTTGTTATATGTGTGAAATTTGGTAAAATTCGGTCCAGTAATAAGAGAGATAGCCTTCAGGTGTAGCCCCCCCCCCCCTTAAACAAAGATGGTGAAGATGAAACAAACACTCACATAATTGTCGCAGGATTTCGTCAGAAGCTCGTACAGAAGAAAATGCTGCGGGATCTAAAACAAAATTGAAACATGGACACTTGCAAAATACTGATACATAATATGTTTTTATATATGTTGTACACACATGTACATATACATGTACATAATATATATATATCCATCTATTTATCAATATGTCTATATCTATTATACATATATTATATATATTTGTATACACACTTAAATAAACAAATATACATATATGGGGGCTCTCGCGGTCAAGAGGATATGGTGTTTGCCTTTCATTCAATAGGTCTCGGGTTCGAAACCTGACAGCAACGGAACATTTTAATCTCTAAAATGTTCTCCTTTCACCTCCTTTCCTGCCCTCTAAAGATGTTCTGTCGTCTGCTTTCTTAAGATTTTCTCCACTTTCTGCCCCCATCCCCACTGGCCCTTGCCCAGTCTTTGAGGCTCATGACCCTTTCTGCATCCTTTCTACTGCTACTCTTTGGCTCTCTTTCTTACTGCTGTCTTCCATCCACATCCCTGACCTTAGGGTGGATAAGATCTTAAACCTAGCCTTCTCGGATCAGGGTGAAAAAAATCTCGGAGGTCCCGTGAGCAAGTTGCGCATGTTAATTTTAAAGATCATTTAATGGTCCAAAATCGATAAGAGTAGGCTTCGGCTGCCACCCAGATTCCTATCAAACTGAACACGTGTAATGTGTCCCGCGCGCTCATATGATCTTATGCAGTTGCGAGCACATAAACACTTACAAAAACAAACAAGACAAGAATATTTTATGTCTACAGTAGTCTTCGCTTAAGACCCCTGTGTTCGGGAGCAAGGAAAAATCGGGGTTTTAGGCGAATGGGATTTTAGCCGATGCACCAAGAGAAGAACCCACGGTGAATCACATCTAGGCCCACACACAGTAAAATGCCCCCCCCCCCTTTTTTTTTTAAACCTGTGAAATGAATTGACGTGACCGCTGGGTGGGTTTACGACTTATGGCGAGCAAAGAGTGGTCAACTTTGATGACCTATCACCGTAGCGTGAGGGATACCATTTTCACTTATTATTCTATTGTGACTTTCATCTCCCTGTCCAAAATTTATAGCTTTCCATCTCTGACCGAGTTCCCCCGCCTCTGTCGTTACGCACCGTTGTGTTGTGACCACATCAGTGTCTACTGTATTAAAGTAGATAATGGACTCTTGTCTTGTCTTGTCTCGTCCAGTCTTGACTTATCCTAACACACTCACCTCCTTATACAGACCTGTCAGTCTCTCGGGCGTGAGGAAGTTGTTGAGCTCCACCTGGACCTGACAGGACAGGAATAGTTCGACAAACTCCACTCTGTCTTTGACGATCGCTTTCTCCAGGAGTACCTCTAGCATGCTGGGTGTCAGAGACTGTGGGCAGAAGAACGTTAGGGCAGAACCATATTAATGCCCGAAACCGACAGTGAGACCAGACCCGCCGTTTTCCGTCGGGTGCGGAAGAGCATATAAAACCGGAGTTTGGCGGTCAGACACCGCGGTGTTGCAAACATGGCGTGTGATAGAAGAAGAAAATTGTTGTTGTTGCTGCTTTTTAGACGTAGACAAAAAAAGAAAACCAAGACAAGAAGAATTTCAGTGCATCTCACCCAAAGAAAGCGTGATACACTAGGTGAATTTCATCATAATTTGTTTCCGCTGTTGTTGGAAGATAGTTAAAAATTCCAACAATACTATCGCCTGAAACACAACAGTTTCAATGAACTGCTAGAGATATGCAGAGCTGACCAAAAACTGCTAGAATTCTGTGTAGCGTCATTGAGGCGGGAAAGGGGACACAACTATGCAGAGATAACATCATTAAAATTACCCCCAATCTCGCCCGACGGACCGTCTTTGATAAAACATGTTTTGTCGGAGACGGTCTGACCGGGGACGACACTTGTCGGAGACGGTCGACCGGGGACGACACAGGACGTCGGGCGTAAGTATGGTAGCCGAGACCGTTTTTTTTGTTACCTTCCATTACTAAAGAGCCGGTGCGCATTCTTTTGAGCCCGAGGACGGTCTGGTCTGACCGTCCGTGTCGGGCGTTAATATGGGTGCGGCCTAAAGCATGCAATTATCTTACTCTATTTTTGAAATGTAGCTTTCCTGCCGCTCTCATCGACACAATTTAGATCATTTACGTGTTGGGCTTCCGGCCCTTCCTGTCAGGATCAACCGGGGTTGAGAGGCATACAACATCCCAACAAAAAATTGCCATACTATGTTAACCACCCCCCACCCCCCCCCCCCACCCACACCTGAATTGAACCGGGGTCTCCTGTGTACGACAGCAAAGCACCTAACCGTTATTCCACATTAAATGTTGCAGGTTTTTACTCTTCGTATACAACCATTCTAAAAGTATAATTATGCCTCTCTCTGTATACACACGTTCTAAAGAATAAATATTATACTCATAATACAAACTTTCTAGAAGTATAATTATCCCACTATAAATACACACTTTCAAAAAATTTAAGATAAGATAAGACAAGATAAGATAAGATAATATTGTATTATTCCATAGGGAAATTTTTCTTGGCTGTACAGGACCGTACAAACATTATGTAGGTATACATAAAACATTTAAATTATTTATTATATATTACTCATATTAAAATTCAATGCGAGAAGAGAAGTAAAGCTGATATAATGACATATCGCATCAAAAGCACCATTCAACCACATGCAGGCATTTAATTACAAGACCTTTAGAGTTATATAGATTCATACTCGAAAGTGCAATACACATTGCTGCTTATTCTGACAGTAGTCTTATGTTGGTAAACAACTTCTTTTATATCTTTCTTTCTTTGTTTTTAGAGTTTCATATCTGCCGCTGCGTGATCTGACAATTTGCGTGGAAAGGGTGTGTGATGGGTAGTTTATAAAGCTTTTTAATCTTTTTTTTTATGCTCGTGGGGTTATACATTTAATCAACTCTAATAAAATCATATCAAGATATCTTGCTGGCTTTCTTAATGGTTCAGTCAAATTATCCTACTTTGTATACGAAACGTTCTGAAAGTATCATTATTCTACTGCCTGTATACACGTTTTCTAGAAGTATAAGTATCCTTCTTTCTGTTCAGAAACTTTCTAAAGTATATTTATCCTACTCTCGGTATAAAAGCTTTCTGAAGGTATAATTATCTTACTCTCTGTACACACACTTTCAAAAAGCATAAACTAATCTCTGTATAGAAGCTTTCTAAAAGTATGATTATTGTATGTACCCTGTGAATACAAACTTTCTAAAAGTCTAATTTTCCAACTCTGTATACAAACGTGCTGAAAGTATAACAATCCAACTCTGTATACAAACTTTCTAAAAGTCTAATTTTCCAACTCTGTACACACACTTTCTGAATATATTATTATCCAACACTTGGTATGCATAATGATAAGATATAGATTGAGAATAGTATGAGACGATTCGTGTATATTGAGCGGGTAGCCTAGTTTATTCAGGAAGTGAAAGTAGGGCGATACAAGGTACGTGCATGCGTAGTATGAGAGCCGTTAGTTACTCTTAGTTTTGTTTCGTATTGTAGGCAATCATATCACATCTCTCTTTCCGAGATAAAATTTTAATTTTTATGGACATCTCCCTCTCAAAAATGAATTTTATGAACATTTCCCTATCAAACGCCTATTATTTAGCAAGCACATAGTGAGAAATGCAAGTTTTAGCTCAGTGGATCAGGTTGGACTATTTCAGTCAAATGTCCTGCCTATTTTCAATGTCAATTTATCTTGAGTGTTCATGAACTGATAGCACACACCTATTGTTAATTAATACTGCATACTTGCTTCAGGTAAAAAAATACTGAAAACATAAACTGACTAGAAATGTCTATGACACATATTTTCCGGAACTGTTTTTTGGCACCAGTTTCTGCAATGGTCTTCAGTGTCATTTCCTCTGGTCTGTGGGTTATTCAGCTGGCTATGATCAGAGAAAATCTGAATATCCACCTAATATGCAATATAATGTGTAACCTGCTACACGGTTACTTATATACAGGTGTGACAGCCTACATACACATGAGGTTCACCTGTAACAGGTCATGGTTTCACTTCAAAGCTAAAAGCATACTAATGCTTCAACCAAAGCCAAACACAACTAGTCACTCGGCAAGTAATAAAACAATGAAAAAGGGAAACTGCACATACCTGGCAGATAATAGACAAGTAGAACAGCCTAACTATACGGGCTGTCTATTTGTGCAAAGGCCATGGGTTTATTCTTTGTATCTAGCAGGTCGGATGATCTTTCTGCCAGAACGAGTGAACACAGCAGGTGAATCTGGTGGTGCTGCTGGTGATGAGGGTACTGCTGAGGTGTTAACGGTTGGAGACGCTGTGTTGTCATTTACTGGAGCGTTGACTGCAGTGTTGACAGGAGTCGGAGCTTTGTCTAAAACAGGCGAATCTATGTTTTCTGGTAGTTACATTTGTCGCTGTGGTGAGTTTCTTATGTGGACCCTGTTTCTTCTCAGTGTTCTTCCCGTTGGTGTATCTACGATGTAGGAACTTAGTTCATGACATTTCTCTTTGATCACTGCTTCTTTCCATTAACTTGAAGGTTGATCTTAGAATCTGACGTGCTGGCCTGGAGTCAGTGGTGGTAAGTCTTTGGCCTTGGTGTCATGGTATCATTTCTGAGTGTCTTGACAGTGCTGTAGTTTTTCATGAACGAGATCGTCGGTTGGATTTCCGGTTTGTCGAGTTGGAAGATTCCCACGAGGTTTTCTTCCAGTGATCAGCTCTGAGGGACTTGGTATTTTGGAGGAGATTGGAGTTGAGCGAAGGCATAAGAGTGTAAGGTCAGGGTCACTACCGTCCCGTCTTGATGAGAGCTTGTTTTTCTGTCTGCACCTGTCTTTCGATGAAGCCATTTGACTTGGGGGGAGACGGAGGAAGAAGTGACGTGATCAAAGCACCAGTCCTTGGCAAATTTTTAAAATGGTTTTGCCGAAAACTGGGGACCGTTGTCTGATTTGAGGGATTTGGGGATTCCATGTTCGGCAAATATCTGCTTCATCACTGCGATGGTGGTCTTGCAGGTATAGTCGTTTGGGAGTTTCCTGCAGACGAAAAACTTGCTGAAATATTCAACGAAGAGGATGTGTTGGGTGTTGTCTAAAAAAAAAAGAAGTCTACACCCAAGACTTCCCAGGGCTGTGTCGGAATTTCATGGGGGTTGAGTGTTTCCGGCACCTGGTTCTTTTGGTGCTCCTGGCAGATGGGGCACTGAGATGTCAGGTTCTCGATGTCCCTTGAAATGCCATGCGAGTACACAGAGGCTCGTGCCCTTAATCTGGTCTTCTCTACCCCTTGGAGTGCTGCTCTTGTTGGAGGCTCTGCGGTCACCTTTGAGTACGATTCCGTACTCCACTGAAAGTTCGTCTCGCAACGACCAAAAACTGCGAATAGCTTCGGGGACTTCTTGTATTGTATCTGGCTATCCGTTGACGATCGTTGGGATGAGTTTGCTCAGAGTAGGTTCATATTTGGTTTCTTCTTGGGGTGATTTGATTCTGTCTGTGCTGAATCTGACTTGGCCAACGATGAGGTCGAGGTCGATGGTCTTGTTGTTGCCGGGGCTTGGCTGTCTGGACAGTGTGTCTGGTACTGTCATGTCCTTGACAGGCTCGTATTCGATGGTGAAATCGTACCGTTGTCATCTGAGGAGCATTCGCTGCAGCCTGGGAGGTGCTCTGGCGAGAGGTTTGTCGAGGATCATGATGAGCGGTTTGTGATCTGTTCTAACGAGGAATTTCTGGCCGTAGAGGTAGGTGTGAAACCGTTCTATTCCGTAGACAATGGCCAAGAGTTCTCGCTCAATGCAGGCGCATCGTGTTTCGGTGTCTGTCAGACTCTTGGACGCATATGCGACAGGCTTGCATGCTGAAGGAGTGTCACGACTAGACCTTTGACGCTGGCGTCTGTCTCCAGTGTTGGTGTTGTATCCGTTTCGAAGTAGATCAAAGTGGCGTTCTCTGAAACTGCATCTTTCAGAGCGTGGAAGCACTTCTGATGGTGTTCGCCCCAGATGAAGAACGAGTCCTTCTTCAAGAGTTCTCTGAGTGGAGCTGCTTTTTCGGCCAGGTTGTTGATGAATGGCGACATGTAGGTAAATAATCCAAGGAATTCCTGCAGTTCTTTCTTGAACGTTGGCGCTGGCATGGCTTTCAGGTCGTTGACTCTGTCAGGATCAGAATGCACGCCTTCAGGAGTGTATGTGGCGCCGAAGAATGTGATAGACTGAGTCTTTATGGTGCACTTCTCTGAGTTGAAGACCAATCCATTCTTTGCTCTCTCTCTCTCTCTCTCTCTCTCTCTCTCTCTCTCTCTCTCTCTCTCTCTAGTCTCTCTCTCTCTTCTGGCGCTGTGGCTTCATAAACGGTCAGCGATGCCGACAGCACGCAGGAACTCAACACTCGACCGGGGGTCCTTAAAAAGTGCTGAAAGTGGGTTACTGAAATGTCCCAGCAGACGGGTTCTAGCACGATAGCTGGCGGGACATCTCAGGAACACATGGTCCATAGTTTCGTCCTCCTCCTTGCAGGCTCGACAGGACGGATGCAAGATGGTGCTCCCGCCAGCTGTTGCCGAAGGATGTCAGTCTACCAACCGACAAACCGAGACGACAGCTGCAGAACGCGTCGACCCACCTGGAACACTAGGACTTCAATCCATCCTCTGCTGCGGCTTTCATCAGGTTGCGCAGGCTTTCGTCAAGTTCTTCTTCTGTCTTTCCGTAGACCACCACTTTGTCCGAGATGCCGGTGGCTCCTTTCACGTTTTCAAGGACCTGGTCCATTTTCAGCAGGAAAAAATCTTGAGAGACCTTGAGACCGAATGGTAGTCTGGTGAAGCTGCATCGGCCATACGGAGTCTGGAACGTCGCCAAGAGCTGGCTTTCTTCGTCGAGCTGAACCGACCAGTAGCCACTCTTGGCGTCCAATTTGGAGAAGAAGCGACTTCCACAGAACTGACGCGTCAGCTCTTCAATGGTTGGAATCTTGTGATGTGGGCGTTTCAGTGCGAGATTCAGGTGACGTGGATCTAAGCGGATTCGAAGCGTCCCTGGCTTCTTCTTGGAGTAGGCGAGGCTTGATGCCCATTCCGTTGGATCCGTTACCATTCTGATCACACCACTTCCCACCATGCTGTCAAGCTCTTCTTTGATCGCGTCTCGGAGAGCAATCGGAATTTTCCTTGGTGCGTCGATGTGTGGCGGGACGTCTGAATCCACCACTAGCTTGACGGGGCTAGGCATCTTACCGATTCTGTCGAACTGTTCTGGGTGGTCTTTCATGACGTCCTGGACGCAAATGACCTTGTCTTTGGCGGATGGGTGTGACGTTCAAATGCTGCAGTGCAATGTCCCTGCTTTCAATTTTTCGCATGACGGCAGTCCAATGATGTCGGGTCCTTCTACGTCTACGATGTATAATCCTGTTTCCTGTCACTCGCCTCTGTAGCGACAGGGAAAAACAATCTTGCTAAGGCATAGAATGTCTGTGCCGTTGTAGGCAGTCAGCCTTGTGCTGCCTTTCACTTTTAAGATCTGTTTGGCCGGGATTCCCAAACGTTGTCAGCAGTTCAGGGAACATATCCCTAAACATGCGCAAGGGCAGCATGTTCCCCTGTGCGCATGTGTCGACCTTGACAATGACGTTGTGTTACCCAGCATTGTTTGAAAGTTGTATTTTGAGCTTGATGAGTGCTTCGTTGCGTTGTTGGGGCAATGAAGAAACTGAAGAGACGGTAACCGGGCTGAATGTTAGGTCGTCAAAGTTCTCTTCGCTGATTTCAGCCTGCATTGCTTTGAATTTTGCTTCTAGAGGCTTCCGCTGATGTCCTCCACCTCGGCTGCCTGGTCCGCCACGTCGTTGACCGCATCCGCGTGAAGGGATGCGTGAAGACTGCTGCGGCCCGGAACGGCAAACTTTGGCGAAGTGGTTAGTTTTGCCGCAAGTATGGCAGGTAATACCATGGGCTGGGCATTCCCGTGGTTTGTGCTGCCCGCCGCAGTTTCTGCGAGTGTTGGATTTGATGGCGCTGATGCTGGTAGAGTCTGTCATTGTGTGTAGCTGCTGTACGTGTGATGCAGTGGCTTCGAACGTGTGACCCACCTTTATCACATCGGCCAACTTGACACCCTTTGCTGTTCGAGAAGTTTCCTTAAGAAATCTTCGATGGGTGTACTTGAAATAATTAACTTGATCATTCTCTCTTCCAGTTCTGCAACACTGGCAAATGCACAGTTTTGTGTCTGGAGCTGCGCCCTTCTAACAAAATCGTCTAGTGTTATGCTCATGAGTTTGAGTCTACTCGCACAAAAGTGTTCAGCCGGCTCGATTTGCCGCCCAGTTTTCGGAATATAATATCTGGATCTTTCTTTTCAGCGCCTGTGAGTGTCATGGTGTTTAACATCCGAAGGCCTTTTTCGCCAATTTGGAGAAGTATGTGGGCGATCTGGTCGTCCTTATGTACCTCCTTTGTGGCAAATTAGAGTTCGAGTCTTTATTTGAACATTTTGAAGGAATCTGCCACGTTTTCGCTTTCCCACAACATCTCGGGAATCTATTGACAGTTAATGACCTCTAGATCTAACTAGATCTAGATAATATCTATTTGCTCGAGCGGGTGAAGCTACGCACTAACAAAGAACAGTTTATTCGGCCCAAAAAGTCCGATTGTAGGCTTCTACTTCTAGCTAGAGGCACACTCACAGGGACTGGATCTGCTGGTTGTTTATTTTTACCGCTGCCTCCATGTTATGATAAGATATAGATTGAGATCAGTATGAGACGATCCGTGTATGTTGAGCGGGTAGCCTAGTTTATTCAGGAAACGAAAGTAGGGCGATACAAGGTATGCGCATGCGTAGTAAGAGAGACGTTAGTTACTCTTAGTTTAGTTTCGTATTGTAGGCAATCATACCACAGTATGGATGTCGATGGGCGGCGGGTACTCTGGTGTGGTTCGCTTTTTCTTTTCTTTCAAACAAGCATCTTCCTTATAATTATCTCTTCTTCTTTTTTGTGTATGTCACTCTCTAGTAACACATCTAATGCTCGGCCCGGACACGACCTATTTTGTGTTGCAAGAGCCGTAAAACTTTCTCTTTAACTATAGAAAACTGCTCTGAGTATACTACCCTTGTGAATTTTCATGCCAGCCACCAGATGGGTGTGACTGGAACATTCTAAAATGTTTACAATTCAATTGAAGGCTCACATTGGTATGCTATCGCCTACAACGTTCTAAAACGTTGACATAATCATTGAGGGCAGATATCGGTTTGCACGATGACCAAGTGAGCGGCATCTGGGGTCTTTTTTAAAACGAGTTTTATGGCACTTTCAACACAAAGAGGGCATATAAATCTGAAGATTAGGATAGTTGTTAGAATATAACACAACAAGAAAATTAGGAGGAGAGTTAAAAACGATAGATGTTTGATAGGAAAGAAGGAGAGAACCTGACCAGAATATCTGTCAACCACCCACGAAGTATCTGTGACGGGAAGTTGGGTAATTTATATGCGCGCATGTGATTGTGTGTATGTGTGTGTGTGTGTGTGTGTGTGTGTGTGTGTGTGTGTGTGTGTGTGTGTGTGTGTGTGTGTGTGTGTGTGTGTGTGTGTGTGAGTGTGTGTGTGAGTGTGTGTGTGAATAAATGAGTGTGTGTGCGTGTGTAAGTGTGTGTAAATAAGTGTGTGATTGTATGTGTGTGTGTATGTAAGTGTGTGTGTGTGTGTGTGTGTGTGTGTGTGTGTGTGTGTGTGTGTGTGTGTAAATAAGTGTGTGTTTGTGTGTGTGTGTGTGTGAGTAAATAAGTGTGTGTTGTGTGTGTGTGTGTGTGTTTGTGTGTGTGTTTGTGTGTATGTGTGTGTGTGTGTGTGTGTGTGTGTGTGTGTGTGTGTGTGAATAAGTCTATGTGAAAAAGCTCACATCTTATTTTAGCTCGTTGGGCAATTTCTCTTGAAATGTTGAATTTTGGCAGAAGGGTTGGGGCATTGAAATTTTCCATGTCAATCAAAAAACACTTTTCTTGACGGAATTTAACTGAAAAATGTTGATCGAAGGTACTGACAATGTACAATTGCCGTTTCAAGCTTTGGAAGTTATAAACTGTCGCGGCCATTTTTGAGTGCAAAATTTATCTTTGACACCAGGTGACCCCCACCTTATTCAGTCTCAAATATCGTGACTTATATTCAAGATAGACGGGTATTTAAAACACAACTGTTCATTAATTCTAATGCTAGGCAAATAAACAGGCGTCAAAGTAATACCAATAACTCCATATTATTAAGCTTAAAAACTAGCAAGCGCTGGATCCGACCGAGTCGTGACACAAATGACATACATCTCCATTATCGTTAGATATCGCCATTGTAGAGCGGTAAATAATTCGTGGCGCAACTTATTGTCAAATATTTCCTACACTTTCGAAAATATACTCTCCAGCTGGTGAGCGTTGACTTGTATTAATTTGTCTTAAAAGATCAATATTTAATTTTTGTTAACACCTGTTAGCTTCATTCTAGAAAATTCCTTAATAAATACTAATTTAAAAAATTCAAGCGGGTTGTTTTACAGATTTTACAAGGTTTGCAGTTGGGACAATATCACTTTTAAAAGAAAGTTTGTCATTTTTTTCCAATTCGCAACATTATGCTTATTGGGCGTATGTTTTTAGCACCTTAAGTTCAGAGCAAAATGTGTTAACTATAAAATGTATTTCTTGTAACTAAAAAGTGTCATTGGTGAGCTGTGACGTAGGCCATACTTGTATGCAAAATGTGTGTGAGAAGCGGGAAGTACAGTGAACCAAACCTTTTTTTCGGGTGGTGGATATATATATATATATATATATATATACATATATATATATATATATATATATATATATATATATATATATATATATATATATATATATATATAGTATTTTATATAAATTTATGAAGAGAGGTTTTAAAATCTAGCCTCAATTGTTATGGAAAAATAGGATTACGTTAAGACAAATTGATGCAAACTGCTGTGCAAAGTATGGATGACATTGATTCACCCGTTAAAGAGACATTTGAAGATAAGTTGCGCCACAAATTTTTGACGGCACTATAATTTATTGTTCTTAGCGCGACTTACCCCTGTTCTAATGACGTCATCAGTGAGGATCTTGTCCCTGGCTACGTCTGCTCTGTCCCATTGCAGGGCTAGCTCCAGTTGTTTCTCAATTTTGCTGAAATCTATCAGTGGCACCCAGTCATATTTTTAAAAGACTTCACGGTACTTGTAATACAAATAATTTTAAAAAAAAATTAAAAATACTATTTTATTGATTCCAGAAGGGCAATTTGGTGTACAATGGCAAACATACACACATAAATAAATACATACTTATAAATACATTCATACATAAATGCACACACATACATACATAAATACATACATTTATACCAATACAGAACAAATTCACAACCATGCCATTGTTGGTCGCCACTGAGCAGCACCCTGTTTTCTTGGCACGGGCTGTCGTGTCTTGCTCAAGGACACACTCCTGTGACCACCCATTTGATCCCCGTGTCACCGACACTTGCTTGACTTTACTCTTGAGTCTAAACCGACTGTTCACGTAGTTACCGGAGCCTAAATTAGGTCAAATAATTGCCGAAGTTTAGAGTTGTTACAAGAAAAAACAACAACCAAAGTTTTAGTTTTAGTAGGAGTTTTACAGTAGATACTTGAAAGATAATAGGTTATACAAGTGCCAGACATAATGGTGCACAGTCTGACTACCAGAAAATTGATTTGATGAGTTTGGAGGGAGTTTTGAAAGACCATGGCCGCACGGGGTAGGCCGTTGTCATGTTAGCACATTTAATCATCCATGTGCCATGTAGGCCGAGATACGGGGACTAAGGATTTCGCCAATATACCGTCGTCTTGTGAGGTTGCTTTGAATAGTGACCAAATTATGCGTACGATAAAGAACAGAGATTGTACTTAACACCGTCAAACATCCGTCACCGAATCGGTCCTCCCGGTGGACGTTGGCTCGGTAAAATCTTTGGGTTGTCCGCTTCTTCTAGACAATCTTCTCTCTTCCGTCAGCGCGACACATTTATATAAAGGTCTAGATCACCGCTGAATAGAACCCTGCACCAACGCCTTTAGTTCCATCGTCAACGTTGTTACGGCCAGATTTGGCGACTTTTTCGATGAGACGTGGGTTAGAACGTCTCCACAAAAAGGCTGTTCAGAAAAAAGCTGAACAAAATATGACCCACTGGTTCAAAAGCACTGATCTGATTTTTGTATTGTGTTAGGTGTGTTTACACATTTTCTGTGTGATCTAAAGTAAATGTTTATGTTTAGGATGCGTCGATCTCGATGCACATAGTGAGAAAATGATACCAACACATAGCGCAAGTGCTGCTTTCAGTATATTATGATGCCTCCCAACTCACACAAGTCATACATTGACATGTAATTTTTCATTTGGCTGCAATTCTTACGCTGTAATGAAAATGATCGTATCATAATGATTATGATAGAACTTTTGCTGCTCAGTATATTATGTGTATGTACATAATATGTGCATATGTGTGTGTGTATGTATGTGTGTGCGTGTGCGTGTGTGTGTGCGTGTGTGTGTGCGTGTGTGTGTGCGTGTGTATGTTTGTATGTGTGTATGTGTGTGTGTGTATGTGTGTATGTGTGTGTATGTGTGTGTATGTGTGTATGTTTGTATGAGTGTATATGAATGTGCGTCTGTGTATGTATGTGT